CACAGGTATCCAAGTAAGATAAAAATTCCATCTATTTCAAAACAGCTCAAACAGAAACTTTTCTGTCATTTATTTCCTTCACTCCTTCATGTGTTTGTCCCATTCTGGTTTCTTCCAGAAATTCCTTCCTTGAGTGGAAATGAAGTCTTCCTTGAGTCTCCCAGGGCAGCTCAAGCCATTTCCCTATTGACAATGAAGCACAGTGGCCCACAGAAACAGACAGCTCTTCCTGGGCTGACGTCGGACCACTGTCCATTCATGTGGGCCCCTGCACCCCCCACTTCCAAAAGTCATTCCACAGCCTCTCATCATTTCTTAGTAAGGCCTTCCTTTGGAACAAGTCATCTTTCTGCTGTTCCAAATGCAATTTGGAGTAAAACTGCCCCGGTAACCACTGAGGTCTGTAAAGAATGAGTGGCGGCCGCAGTTCCAGGGTGTTGCAGCTGCCCAGAGGATGGTGCTCGGGAGGCACCGGTTCTCTGCCATTTCAAACTCTGCCATTCCAAACCCAAAGCCCTGCCTTGCTCTGCCCCTCCTGAGAGGCTCCTTGCTTCTGAGTTTCAATCAACAGCGCACAAGGAACAAGAGTAGGGCCGCTTCTGGGGATGCCCGTGGAGCCCAGCGTGTTGGTTTTCATCTGATTCCCAGGCTTCAGGCAGTTCCCAGAGGCTTGGGGACACCACGGCTGTGTTCCTAGCAGAACAAAACAAACAGAGTTCTTGGGCTGGATAACCAGCTTTCATCCCCAGGTTCCTGGACAATTCCAGCAGGGATGGGAGGTTCTGGGTGCTGAAAAACGTAACTAGAACTGTACCAAATGCTCCTCTCACCTCCATCTGGGTGCTAAGGAGCCTAGAGGGGAGCAACTCTGTTTGCTTCTAGACACAGTGGCATCTACCTGGGTTTGGAGTCTGATGAGCCCCGAGGGGAAGCTGTCAAAAAGCTAACAATACTGTGTACTTAGCCAACATGTGCTCCCTACGGGGTTTCCACGGCTGCTCTGGAAGTTCCTTCCTCAGAAAAGAGAGTCAGAGCCCCTTGTCTCCATTCTACGGTGCTAGAGACTAAGCCTCAACTGGAAATCGCAGCCAAGTGGAGTTGTGGGGCTAGTCAGAGATGACGCTTAGGATCCTGGAACTCGGCCATTGCCCGGGAACATCTCAGACAGGGAAGCATGTAGCAAGGTTTACACAACTCTGCCTGCGTGCGCAACCCCAGCTGAACTCCTTCCATTGCTAAGTAAAGAACTCAAGTGGCTTGAGGGCTTCTAGGACAGGTTTTTAAATCCCAACTGTGCCACTCCCTAGTTGAGTGACCTTAGCCAAGGGAAGTGGGAAATAAATTATTGGATGGCTAAATGTGCTAGGCACTGTGCTTGCACTGGAGCCTGTCTGACCTCGAAGCACATATCCTCTCTGTGTGAGCACTCGTCCTGCACTCAGAGTCAGAGGCCTTAGGCTAGAGGCACAGTTATTTGACTCTGGGAAGTCACTTCCATTCTCTCTGGGCCTCAGTCTCTCTTCAGGCAAATAGGACAGTCTGTCCTGCTGACCCTATGGGGTGATGGTGACATTAAAATGGAATAGCGTGGGGAAAGAATGCTCTCTAATACTCAGTGTGTATGGTAAGTGGTCGTTTTCAGACCCATCTGATCTTTGGGACCATCACAAGGAGGTTTTTAAAAATATAGATTACTAGATGGGTGAGGGTCTGATCCAGTGGCCCTGAGAATCTGTGTCAAAAAAAAAAAAAAACACGCTCAAGGCTGGTTTGTGGAGCAGCTCATGTTTACAGATGTAAGGGATGAATATCATTTCCCCAGACCTCCGGGATGCCAAAATTTTGCTTCCTCTTCCCTGCCCCACCTAAGACGTTGCCAGTCCTAGCCCTGCCCTTGGACTCTGTCTCTGAAGGTTTTTATATTATTCCTTCACTGATAGACTCTGGCTGCCTCTCAGCACCTACCAGCCAAAGACCCAGAGAAAGGAGAGAAGGGTAGGAAAGAGAAGGCTCTGATCCAATGCATAAATTGCCTTTAGTTACCCAAACTGGGTAAATTGGCATGGAGGGAATCCAAGCCACAAGGTGGAGAAGCAGCCAGGGTCTGAGTAAGCAGACGAAGCATCCAGGTGGTGGCTCACCCTCTGCCTTTGGCTAGGGAACAATGTGTGTTGGTTGAATCCCAAGGGACACATCTTGTATTTATTTTACTGACTTTGCTTGTATTTTTCTAACCTTGTTGGGTACTTTTTTGGGGATGAAGAAAGTCTGGGATAACTTTTTATGTTTGAAATTCTCAAATATCCCCACCAAAAGAGGCACATGCTAGCATGGATGATTCCAAACAAGGGATTATTGAGAAGTCACTTCCACTGGTTTTAAGGTGAATGGCGTGGAGGTACCCACTCCCCCATTAAATTCACCTTCAAGCCTGGTGTGGTGGCTCACGCCTGTCATCCCAATGACTCAGGAGGCTCAGCTGGGAGGATTACATGACCCCAGAAGTTTGAGACAAGCCTGGGCAACATAGCAAGACTCTCTACCCTGTCTCAAAAAAAAAAAAAAAAGTAAATTTACCTTCCGGGTTTGCTTCAGCTTCAAATATATTATCAGCACTGGTTTACATACCATGCGAATGGTAGGCTGGTATGTTGGAACAAGGAGAACTCAAACTCAGAGCAGTCTCATGGCTGAAAACTCAGGCCTTGAGGGTCCAGGTGTCACATGCACTGTATACATAAGGAGATGAGGCCCACGGAAGGGTGGTGACGTGATTGCCTTTCCTCCAGTGCCTGCGCTGCTTCTGGACTTCTGGGGTTTTTTTGTTTTTATCTGTTCACCTTGCCTGCAGTGATGATTGGTTGACCTGCAGGATTCAAGGAGCATTTGCAGTCCAGAACCTGTGTAGGGGGCATTTGTGGGAGAAGGAGAGCTGTGTTCTAGTCCTCTGGCTGCTAACCAGCTGTGTGGCCTTGGGAAGTCCCGGACATCTCTAAACCTTATTTGTACTTCAGGGAGGGGAAATGTGTGGCTTTGAGGGGCTCTTCCAGTTTCTAGGCTTCTGCATGGCAGACTCCATTTTAGACTGCAACTGCAGGAACGGAAGGCCAAGAGCTCTGCTCAAAGTATAAACCTCACGGGCTAGGAGGCTCCCACGGGGCCCCAGGAAGGGGAAGCCAAGGCAAGAGCTGCTCCCTCTGTTCCCCAAGGTCACAGCAGCAGAGGTGAGCTCAAAATAGAAGCAAGGCCTCCATCGCCCCACCCACCCAGAGAAGCCAGACCAGGAGGCCCGTGCGGCAGGTGGGCGGGAGGAGGGCGTGCTTGGCTCCTCTCCTCCTGGTGCTGCTTATTTATAGGCAATACTCCTCCAGCTCTTGGGCCAGAGACAACCCGGGAGAGTAAAAAAGGCAGCTCTGGAGGAGACGCCAAGGGGGATTTAATCAGCTGAATCGAGTGAGACGTATAAATCAGTGCCGACTTCCACTTCCTGACAGGCTCTGCCAGTTTCTGTGTCGTCAGGGTCTGGGAGGAGATTCGCCATGGCTGTCCCCCAGGGCTGTAACACTTTGCCTTTGTCTCTTGCTACAGGTAGGCAGTCGCTGGCTCGAGGTTTCCTCCAAACACAGATTTCTGGGCTCAAAACCCTAGACTTGCTCTGGAGGCTGGAGACCTAAGCTTCTTCAAGTCCTAAAACAAAAACTGGGAAGCTAGGGGCCTCCTTTTTTCCCCTATTTTGTCTATTTCCTTGACCATTTACCTGTCTCTAAATCCTTGCAGTTCACGCCTTATGATTCCAGCATTTGAGCATGTGAATGTCACCTAAATGGCCATTGAACCTGTTAACTGGTTCACACCCGTCTTCAGATGAGGAGCCATGGCTAGGAGGAGCTAAGAGACCCAGGCCAGCCTCCTGAGGCTCCCACACTTCTCTCGCTGCCTTTTTTGTCTTCTCCAAACCTAGAGCCCCTAACCTCTCCCACATCCTATTCCTTCCTCACAAATTCTCTCCAAGCACCCAGCCTCCCAGCGCAGGCTCCCTAGAAGGCAGGGAGGGCTCCACAGCAAGTCCAAGGACTTCTTTACTCAACTGTTAACTGGGAATGGTGAGGGGAGCAGAGGGCCAGGAAAACATGTCTTAGCTGCCTGGGCTAATGCAAAGAAACGTGGCAAGGGTTCCGTGCTGGTTGGCAGTGTGGGGAGAGGGGAATCTGTTTCCAGTGGAATCCTGTGGGGATCCTGAGGAAGAGAACAGAATCGATGCCATGTGCCATAGGTGGCTGAGGTTCATATGAGACACCCTTAGAAGACAGCTTATGGGAAGGCTAGGGCAGCTTTCACTTGCTTTCTTAACATGGATTTTAGTCTCCTGAGCTAGGTGCTAAGGATACAAAGGTGAGAACTGGAGGCTGCTCTGTGTGTGCAGCCTAGTGTGATGGGCCTGTGATGGAGGGTGTGTGGAGAGGAGCCGGGGGATGGGAAAGCATCAGGAGACAAGCGTGGCTGAAGGAGGAGCAGGTGCCGACCAGGTGAAGCCAGTTTCTCAGTCCCGGCTGCACAGTGGAATCACCTGGGGAGCTTTTAATAACCCAGAGCCCATTGAATGTGATGGATCTGATCAAGAAAAAAAAATCCAGAGCTCAGGACACACTCCTAACCAATTAAATGAGACTCTGAGATTGGAACCCAAGCATCGTTACTGGAGATTTCAAAGTATAGCCAAGGAGGAGACCATGGGTTATCAGATAATTTGTGCCTTAGGTTTTCAGGGCAATGGAATGGTTAAAAGGGTGACTCTTTTGGGTTTCTTTTTTTTTTAATTGAACCCTCTTATTCACTCTTTCTAGGAAACCATGAGAATTGCCTTCTGGACCTGGGTCTGGGAGGAGCTAGAAGGAAGGAGGGGGGCAGGCAGGAAGGGGAAAGGACAGAAGAGGACTCTGGGGCTGTAGGGTCTAAGCTGTCAGTGACATTGTCACAAACCACGCCTCCCTCACTGCCAGGACCTCCTGCAGAATTCCCCCAATTCCATGTCTGGAGTCTCCAATAACCCCCAGGGAATTGTGGTCCCAGCCTCAGCGCTCCAGCAGGGCAACATCGCCATGACAACCGTCAACTCACAAGTCGTGTCAGGTCGGTGCAAAGACCGGGAAGGGGAATTGTGGGAATTCCCTGGGAGGAGAAAGGGTGGCCCTGAGGCGGTTCGGGGGGGGGGGGGTTGTCCTCCACCGAGGGAGGGGCTCCCAGCTCAGTTTCTTGACTAAAGTTTTCTGTAAGTTTGTAGACAGTTAGCACCAAGACCCAATTGTGATGGTTTAGAACAAATCTGGGTCAAAATCTCATGAGCCCCTGGGAGGACCAAGTAAGGCTGTTGTCCCTTCCCTGAAGCACCTCCCACCAGGGGCTCTTCCCTAGGCTGTAGACACCATCCCCCAGCCACCCATAAAGCAGAAGAGCCATAGCTCGCTACCCAAGGGCTCCAAAGTAGAGGGTCTTTACACGTGAGTGCCAAGTGAACTGGGAACCCTGCTTGCCCTTGCTCCTACCCACTCCCATGGCAGGGGACCCCAAAACTGGTTGTCTCCTCAGGTGGAGCCTTATACCAACCGGTTACCATGGTAACCTCCCAGGGTCAGGTGGTCACCCAAGCAATCCCCCAGGGAGCCATCCAGATCCAGAACACACAGGTGAGTGTGTGTAGGTGTGTGCACATGTGCATGGTGTGGGCTAGGGCACCTGTGATCGCTTCTTATCTGCCAGGCACTTTACACGAGTGACCCACTGAATCCTCATCATCCTCTAAGAGGTATCATTACTCCTACTTTACAGATAAGAAGCTGGGTCTTGGAAAGGTTTTATCAACTCCTGGGATTTTGCTGCCTCCCTCCTGGGGTTACATCAAAGGATCCTGCACTTCCTATTCCTGTCTGCAGACTGAGCTGCTGTGTCCCTCAGTGGTAGAGAGTGCACACACAAAGGAAGAGTAGAAAGATCGGAAGTCAGAGTCTGGGATCTGACATTAACTCTGGGATCTCGGATAAGTCACCTAACCTCTCTGAGCCTCAGACTTCTTATTGATAAAAGGGGGATTAATAGCAACTGCACACAGCCTAGCCAACCTACAGGGCTGCTGTGAGAATGAACCACGGTGATGGATAGGAAAGTGCTTTGCAAACTGGAAAGTACCACAGAAATGCTGATAACTACTTGACGGCTTATGGCAAATTCATATCTCCTACTGTTCTCTCTGCATGGCCCTGTTTCCTCTGTCTTTCTCTCTCTCTCTCTCTCTCTCACTCTCTCTCTCACTCTCCCCCTGCCCCATCTCTTCCTCCTTATCCTTCTTCCCTTCTCCCATCACCCGAGCCTCACCTCCACTCTCTGAGGGGCTGGCATGGGGTGAGAGGGAAAGGTGACCTCCCCAGGGCCCTAGGACTGAGCCGGGAAAGGGGCTGGCAGCTGAGCCTGCCGTCGCTATGGCAACAGGTCCCTAGCCGCTGGCCTCACAGGCTGCTGATGCTGATTTTCTCTCCACGTGCCCTGAAGGTTAACCTTGACCTCACCTCCCTCCTGGACAATGAGGATAAGAAGTCCAAGAACAAACGAGGAGTCTTGCCCAAGCATGCCACCAATATAATGCGTTCTTGGCTCTTCCAGCATCTCATGGTGAGTGTGTGTGTCCTGGGGGTGTGGAGTCACGGCATGGGGTATGAATAACCCACCACATGGGTACCAGTCTCTGCTGTCAGCTCCAAACCCACAGACAGAGGGCGTGGCCTCGGGGCGCGCTCTCTGATAGGGATGACATCTGGAGGCCAGGCCGGCAGGGGGGCTCAGGTGGGACCTAAAGCTGGGAGACTTTCTCTAGTACCTGCTACTGTTGCTGTCTGGAAAAAATGTGGCAACACATGGGGTAATGGGGACAAGCGCATGCCGAAGAGTCAAGTACTGGGCAGGTGTGTCACACTGTTCCGTGAACAGAGAGAGGGTCATTGTGGGGAGTGGGTGGTTTCTGGTCCAGAGCCCTCCCCCTGCCACAGCCGCGCTCACCGTGCCCGTCTCCCATGGGAGAACGTGTTGACTCTGCCAGGACTCCTGAGTCCTCCCCGCTGGGTGAGCCAAGCGCTGTGTGGTGGAGATGGGGGCCAAGGCTGGAATCCTGGCTCCTCACGTCACAGCTCAGTTCCAGGACACAGCACTATTTATTTCATAAGCCTCAGCAGCTCCTTTTATAAAATGGCCCACTACCTTGGGTTACAGTGGAGTGTTGATAAAGTGCATACTGTGTGGTGGTTGCTGTGTGTCTGTGTGCAGCGTTAGTTGCAAAAGACAAGCCTTTGGTGGAATGTCAGGAGAGACTTCATAATTGCGATCCCCTAACACCACTTTCAAGGGCTGTGGCCGTAAATAAAGGCCAATGACTGTGCCGAGTGTGTATATGCTGGTGTGTGTGTGTTCTGGGGTGGGGAGGTAGGTGCTGTGACCACAGGCTGGCTTCCATTAATCTGTGAGCTCCTGCCCTGGCATGTCAGGACAGACAGTCAGACACAGATACAAGACAAATTCCAAGGGACTGAGGATCCATTGGCTGGAGAACTGTGGGAAAAACCAGGAGGAAGAGGAAATCCTTCTCCAGGGAGGAGAAAAATCAAATGGGCCATGGAAACTAGTTAGTCCATCAGCAGCCCTTTGTCTGAAATGGGAGAGCCTTCAGAAGCCATGGAGACCAGGCCTCAGTGGTTCTCAGACTTTAGTGGCAGCAGAAGACTGACTGGGTCTTGGGGGCTCTGATTTGGAAGTGCTGGACCTTCCTGTGCACCCAGGAGGCTGGAAGGATCACCTCCTAGCAAGAGATGAGAGCCGGAGCTCGACATCTCCCCAGAAGTATCCCCTCGCCTCTGGGGGTGTGGGGCTGCCCCAGTGGTTTGCTGAGTGAGTACATTTTGAAAGCACTCACTAGTCTGAAGACCTACAGTTTCCAGATGAGAAAGCTAATTTGGAGAGGAGGGGCTGGAATGCTGGAGTTAAGGTGAGGAGAGGACGCTGGAGGGACTCCTGTGCCTAGGTGATGAGGCCAGAGGCCCCGCAGCAGGTCCAACCTCAGGTCTCTATGGAGCAGCTCTGAGTCAGTGGCTGGAGTGCACAGGGGGAATGCCCAGGTCTCCTGCCTTTCTGGTTTTCCAAACTGCCCGAGAGCCAGGGGGCTCAGATGGACTCAGTGGCCTGTGGGTCCAGTGTCCATGTCACAGCTCCCAGCCTACCTGTGGGAGGAGGGGGCTCCCTAGGGAAGGACGCATCTTCTGTGTGCTGACCTGGCACAACCGAGATTAAAGCACCACCCTCTCCCAACTGCTAGTGGAGCTAAATCTGGCTCCACTCATTGTGGTGGGTGACGTACAATGCAGGGTCACAGGTGTGCTAGAAAGCTCATGGGCTTTTGAGGCAGCTGAACCTGGGTTCAAATCTCAGTTACCTTTTACCCTGCAACTTGGCCACACTCGCGTCTTAGGAAGACTGATGAAGTAATGAAAGATTGCCAGGACCCTGGCACACTGAGTTGCTTAATAAATGCTCCCTTTCCTTCCCCACCTCCCACCCCCATGCATTTTTGAAGACTGTCGTGAACATACCTACAACCTCACTTCTGAAGGGGGAAAAAGGCAAGAGGAGAGAGGAAGCTGCAAGGCAGATTCCCCTGCCCAGGAGCCCAGGTGTCCAGGTCAGCACCTGCTCAGTGACTCCCACCCCCCATCTGTGGCCTTCCCCTTCACTACCTTCCATTCCCCACTTGCAGCTCACCCCTGGGAGTCATTAGCCTGAGACTGGAGGGTCACACATCTTTGTCCCTCCTGGCCGTGCCTGGCCTCTCACCTGGGACCTCAGTTCATGCCCTGCCCTCTCACCCGCTTCCTCGTGAGCCTCCCTGCAGAGCTCAGGGTCCTGTCTTTCCACTCCATGGTCACTTCCACCCAGACTTGGGAAGGCAGAGGAAGGGGAGGTGAAGAGAGGAGGTAGTAGCTGAGCCCAGAGCAAGGCAGGACCCAGGCTGGCTCTACAGAAAGCACCAGGGATAGGGTAGAGGACTTGCCGAAAGGCATGAGGAGGGGCTTTCTGCCCACACTTTGCCACCCACCCCTGTTGCCTTCTCTAGCCTGGCAGTGTGTACAGGTGCAGGTGCCATTCATGACGCGCTTAACATTGGCAGAGTCTTCCCCCAGTTCATCACAGTGGCCTCTAGAAAGGCAAGGGGAGTGGCCACTGGGCCTCTAAAGTCAGAGCTCAGAACTCTGGGACTGAGGAGGAGGAAGAGAATGAGAAGTCCAGGCTGCTCTAGGGAAACAAGCAGACCCAGCTGTCCTTGGCTTGGCAGGCCACGCCTGGGCCACACAGCCATGCATATGTGGACACACCCTCACCAAACCCCAGCTGCTTCAGGAAAGAGGCTTTACAGGCTCTTCATAACTAGGCACAGTAGAAAGAAGACAGGATTTGAAACCAGACAGATCGAGGTATGAATTGAGGCTCTCCCACCAGCAGTGTGATTACCCTGATTCTATTTCTTGGAAAAAAAGAAGAAGATGATAATACTTATTTCCCATGGTTGTGAAAATTCAATGAGAAAACATATATAAAGAGCCAGGCCTAGCATATAGCACTTAAGAAATAAGTCCCTTTAAATTTTTTAGAATAATGGACCAAGAGCAAGTTTTGGAGGCTGAAGACCCAAATTTTGTGAATATTAATCAGAGGTAGATGGCTGATTTGTTGTTTTCAACTATAACACCTACTGATTTTACTCTCATTTGACCCTCAGAGTAACTGACAATACTGTGACTTACCCGTTCTTTGTGTAGATGTGTGTGCCTCTCTTGTATCTCTGACTCTGTCATAAATTTCTCAAAAATAAGGATCATACATTATATTCCTCTATGAGCCCTACAGCATTGATTCCCAAGGTATGAAGCTTTACAGGATTTATGAGGTCTCACGCCCCAAAAGAGGTTCCATGGTGAAATAAGTTTGGGCCAATCTGAATTATAGAAAGTTTAGACTTTTTTTTTTTTTTCATGGTAGGGTACAGAGTCTCACTCTGTTGCCCAGGCTGGAGTGCAATGGCACGATCTCGGCTCACTGCAACCCCCACCTCCCAGGTTCAAGCGATTCTCCTGCCTCAGCTTCCTGGGTAGCTGGGATTACAGGCACCCACCACCATGCTTGGCTAATTTTTATATTTTTAGTAGAGGTGGGGTTTTACCACATTGGCCAGGCTGGTCTCAAACTCAACCTCAAGGGATCTGCCCACCTTGGCCTCCATAGTGTATTCTTTTTATTCTTACAGGACAAAGGGGCATGGTGAATTTGCAAGAGGGGTAAGGTTCGACGCTTCTCCCAAACTTACGTGAGCGCTTTACATCCCCTCTTGGTGTTTTCACTGTTGCTCTGAGGAACAACTCTGAGACTGTAATTCTTGAAAAACGCAACTCTAGGGAGACACTGTGTCAGGCCAATAGGAGCTGCTCAGCTTTGGGAAAGACGAGCAGAAAGGGTAAGAAGTAAGGACAGACCTAAATATGCCATCGATGTTCTCACATCCAGTGCAGTTGGGACAACTAATCTGTGGTTGATTGAAAAACTTAGTTTAAAAAAGAAACAACCATTCAAAAGAGATACTTTAATTTAAAAGATGGACTTACCGTATACATTCATTTGCTAATCTTTTGATACAGGACTAAGGTCTTTTTCTGATTGTTAGTCATCTTCCTTGCATAAACCTCTCCTATAATGTAACATCTATAAATTCCACCTCAATGGAAAGTGGAATTACAACTTTGACATTTGGGAACCAATCTGTCCGCGAGATCTTTCCGTATTTTTATTCTGTATTCCAATCCTTGATGTTTGTCTCATCTGATCCTAACTATTCAGCATTTGTAAGCAAATTTGGGCCTCGAGACTTTTGAAAACTTTCTACTTATCAACAGCAACTCTTTTTGTACTCATATTTCATTGGTTTACAGAAGAGTTTGTTAAATTACAGAAATTTACATACTTTATTAATAATAACATAGAATTGGCATAAACCAGTCTGGATACGAGCGCTGCTGGCTTTCAGATACGCAGATAGTGTAGCTAACAGACATTCCACAAAACAGCGTTCTGATCTCCAGCATTCAGTGTGCTGCGGAGAACAATTCTAATGATTTACAGGAGAAATGGACATGCCATCGATCAATCCACAAACTTTGTTAAATAGGGATTGGTTGTGAGAACGTCTGTAGCAAATACTGGTTGTTTCTGTTGTCTTCTTTCCCTGGGGTATAAGTCTGTATTCTTTGGTTCCCTTTGTCCTGGGTCTGGGGCTTCTCGTCATTTCTACTGTTCTGCTGCACTGGCAGCCACAAAACAGTATTCAGATGATAGAAGGCTCCCGAGATGGAGGTGAAATTCCAGAACCTTTTTGCTGTTAGGCTGCAGTGAGATTGGGATGGTTTCATCCATTAGCTGTTCGCCTCTGAGTCCCTGAAGAATCCAGTGACATTTTCTTGCTCTTGCATTTGGCTGAAAGAGGCTACACTCCTGCTGGAAGCAGTCATTCCATAGCAGACTCAGGTCGGTTGAGAGCCCATGGCAGACAGTCCTTCTCTTGGAGGGTGGAGAGGTAGACA